TTCACACTGATGATATTTGCAAGGGCATATTCATTTATTAATTTTCCTTTGGCTTAGTCCCTTATTTATCAGGGGTCACCACAGCGGAATGAACCGCCAACTATTCCAGCATATGTTTTATACAGCTTATGCCTGTCAAGCTGCAACCCAGCACTTTGAAACACTCAGCGCATGTGTTTGGTCACAGGGAGAACATGTAAACTCCACATAGCAATGCTAACTGGCCCAGCCGGGACTCAAACCAGCGACTTTCTTGCTGTGATCTGGCAGTGCTAACCACTAAGTCACTGTGCCACCACAGGCACATTTTATTAATGATTAAAACATGATTATTTATTGATACCAAATAAATATCACAAAACATCTTAACGATGTCCAAAATTTGTAATCGAATACATTTGCCTCCATATAGACACTTTCCGTGCATGTGGTCAGTTTGCTCAGTAGCTCACTTTGTACAGTGTTGCTTCAAGTGTATATAAGATAGATAAAAGCAATGTAAAATCAAGGTAAAACTATGTGGTCGTGTAGCACTTTTCTGTGTCAATTGCTTTAAAAAAAACTATTGCTTGGGTTTAGGTTAGTGGTTCGATTAATGAAGCTGTACCACAAGCTCTGCGATCTCATGAACATGCACAAGAAGGATGTGTTTTTTAAATGTAATAAAGCATGCCTTAAAGAACCCCTATTATGCATTAAAAAGTTTGGTTTTGGGGGTCTCCAACAACAGGTTGATATGCATGCAAAGTCAAAAAACACTTTCATTGTCTTATAATATGCATTTATTTTCCCCTTATTATCCCAAAGACTCTTATGTGATTCGTTCAGCGATCTATTTGTTCGCAAACCCATCCTTAGCGCAATGCTAATCTGAGCTAATTGGTCTGATGACCCAGTCTATTGCAATTGGTTGACTGCGTTTAGAGTGAGACAGAGTAATGCCCACCACAGCTTATCAACAATTTTGAAGTAGTCAGAGTGCAGAGTGTATGTGTGAGCCCAATGCAGGAGTGCATTAAAACAATGCAGTTTAACACCAGCAAATTGCACTATTCTTACCCATGACACACATTTAGTATTAATCCACAGAGTAGCAAAAGCTGAACTTTTTTGAAACTTGACCACCGGACGTGTGTAGAAACAGCTGACTGTGACCATAGCAATGACAAACGGCAGTAGATCACAAAAGCATACAAATCAGCATGTGTCACGTTTCAATGTGGCTTTAGATACAATATGAGAATATAAAGAGTTAACCAGTTACAGTAAGCGTTTACAACTAACAAAACACAATTAAATACATAATTTACAAGCCAGAGACAATGAGGCACCCATTTTGCACTTACTTACAATTCTGAAATGAAGGAAGAAACTGATCCATGAACTGTGTACTGTTTTTTTAAACCATCCTTTAACAAACAGCTGATGAATCCCCCATTGTAAGCGTGCAGATTGCTGAAGCACTTGACAGAAAATGACGGGAACACAGCACAAGGCTGGGGCTATAACTCTGAGGTATGTTTGCAAAAATAAACTTCAACCACAGACTCTTCACAGCCTCGTCTTTGAGTAGGGAAAATAACACAAAATATCCCTTACACTTCAGAGCACAGCATCTACGCGACATGATTCAACCGGGATCTGCTACAGTGTTTGTCTTTCTCTTTTTCTTTCTACAGTGTTTGTGTGAGGAGCCAGGGGTTTTAATTTTCCCTGGTCTGCACACACAAGAAATAGGTGGGGCTTTAGTTCTGTATTGACGTTACGCTGACACGGCTAAAGACTCATTACAGCGGCGATTCATTCCAACCACTGTGAGTCGACTCTTTTATAGATGAATCAATAGTTTTAAACAAGGCGCACTTTCAGATTTAAGCCTTAGCTGGATATTTCACATCACTTAGAGCTGTGTTACACACTGCATGGAAGGTCATTATCAGAAACCCATAATAGGGGTTCTTTAAGTAACGTATTACACATTTGTTAAATTGTAGACAATGCTCTCTAGTGGATTTGTCATCTGAAACGTTTAACAAAATGCACCCAGATCAATGTATTTTACATTTAGCAAAAACTGTAGGCAGATTTTCATGAGCCTGGGTAGCAAAAAAAGATGTTTTCACTTTCAGTCAGTCTACCTAATCAGTTGTTAATACTGTTATTGCACATATTATCATTTTAAGTATACCTAATAAACTTTAAGCATATTGTAAAAGTTTATTGTTTATTACAATATTGTTAGCTTTTTAACAAACAGTATTTGTTCCTTTCTTGTAAGTAAAAGGGACGGTTTACATAATTCCACCATTTACGCATCCTCAAGTGGTGAATAAAGAAGAAAGCAACTCATTAAGACACATGCATGGTGTCATCAAAATACCCCCAGAACCACCCGAGACCCCCGTGTCCAGTGTCTGTTGGATGTAAGAGAAGCTCAGCAGATCAACATGATGAAAACATCCCGCTCAAGGGCCTGTCGAGCACACAGGAGGAGGCGTCCAGTGACAAGGTCAGCCAAATGTCAGCATGAGTGTATGTGCGTGTGTGTGGAGCTGCTGAATGCTGAACAGAGAAACAAGTGCTCTTCACATATACGCCTCAATGCTAAAGACTTTCTCTGCTCTAGCAGGTGCACGTCTGTAAGTGTGTGTTTGTGTATTTGTTTATACTACATTGTTGGAACACATGTTTCCACAATGATAGCAAAAACTGAGGTTGTTCACAATGTACAAATAAAAAAAAAACTAAACAAATAGAAAAATACTAAATGATAGTAAATGTAAACACAAGGTACAGTTCAGGTTGGTTCGTGCAAGGAAAATCATGTTTGATCAGTCTAAAAACAATAGAAGTACACTAGAAGAACACACTTTCTGATCATTGCAGGTTAAACAGTTACAGACAGTTACACCACACTGTTTCTGCACTATAAATTGGAGGAAGAGAAAGCATTTTAACACTTAAAACATGCCACAGATGAGCGGATAATTTTTTCCATAATTTAGTTATGGCCAATAACCAAAAATTGATTGATATTAAGTTAAAAAGCAAAGAACAAAAGGACTGCAATCAAAACATGTTACATAGAAAATATAATATATATTTTTATTATTAATAGTAAGATAAAAAAAATCATAATATGTTTTATCCAGTAACTGATAAATGGCTGATATTAAAAGTGTATATTTTTTAAATAATATTAATAATAATAATAATAATATATAATAATATATATACATTTATAATATAAAAATAGTAATTATTTACTATTATATAATAATAATAGTTATTATTATTATTATTGTTTATATATATATATATATATATATATATATATATATATATATATATATATATATATATATATATATATATATATATATATATATTTATGTTAATACCAAAACACTAATATCTGAGTCACTGACAGAACATCTGAGAGTCTAAGAAAGACATTTAAATAATAAGAATTTATTAAAAATAATAATGAAAAAATATAATAATTTAAAAAATCTGTTACATTACATTGACTGTTATTAAATATAATCATTAAAGGGGTGCTCCACAGTGTATTTTTAAGGCTTGGTTGTGTTTATAAGATGCAAAGCAATGTGTGCTCATGCTTCATATGTAAAAAATCAGGTTATTTTTCATATATCTTATTTTGATTATACACAGCTACTCTGCTAACATGAAAACGACTGTCATATTTTATAGTTCCTCTGAAAGGCCCACCCTCAAGAGGCTCTGATTAGTCAGCTATCATAATGTGCTGTGATTCGCAGATTAGCTCCACAACACGCCCCACAGGCACATACTTTAGCACTGTGCAACCACATTCAGTCAGAGTAGCTGTTAGCAGGGTTAGCTGCCTGAATCAGACAGAAAAATGTAGCGCACAGTTGAACCTCACGCCTGCTCTCTAAAATAAAATCTGACAAGTGTCTTTCACATATATTCAGAATAAGCATGTGTAGGTAATATAAAATGTTCTCATATCTTTTGCAGATGTTTACATCGGTTTGATGGATAAATATAAATCTGTAGCTAAATTGTTTGCCCCAAAACATGTAATTGTATTTTACATTCTTGTTTACGTCCTTGCTACAACATACCGTTAACGCTAGAAACGGTGCATGTAATGGATCAATTTTAACAAATTAAAACGCTTACAGATTGTGGCTCACAATCCACATCTTCGTCGGCTGGAAGAGTTTTTAGCCAAATCCAGCACTAAACTGGGAGAGATTCTGGAAGCTGACCTTTGTCAAATGCTAGCTATATACTTAATAATTCTCAGGAACATAATTAAAATGAAACTGTACGCACTTCTCTCTTTGTGTCGTGTCCTTTGGATACCCAAATACAGAAACAGAAGAAGCTCTGTGAAAATAGCAGCGTTTTGACGGCATTTTAGCTTTCTCTGCTGTGACATTACAGCACCTCTGGCCACGCTCCTTTGCTGCGCAGGGTACAGTATGTGCGTGAGGTGAATGCACGTACCCGGAAGCCCTTGTGATCTCACTATCCCGGATGTAATTTTCTGTAGTCCCCAAATTTGTTCGCTGAAGACTTTGCTAAGCTAAAATCAATTGTTTTATAGGCGATATGTAAAAATATTTATGTTAATAACAGAGTTAATATCTGAGTTACTGACAGAACATTTAAGAGTCTAAGAAAGACATTTAAAAAATAAAAATAAATAGTAAGTAATGAAAATAAAGTTAAGGATAAATTAATTAAATAAAAAAATTATAAAAGATAAATTAAAAAGTTAAAATGTAAAAATGTTACGTTTACATACTTTATACATTACATGACTTTTTATTTATCATTTTAAAAAATAAAAAAAATAAAAATACATTTTTAATACCTAATGTTATCTGATAATTAATACGGAACAGATTTATCCTTCATCCCTGGTATTGTTTAAAGCATATAATGCACTAATGAGCCATTGAGTTTCAGGATGCTGCTTTGCTGGGTTTTGAAGGACTGACCTGTTTGTGTGGTCCTCTGAGAATGTGAGCTCTGGCCCCCTCACAGGCCGTCCTCATGGCCTCCAGAGATGGCGTCCCTAGCAGATCTGTGATCAGGTCCAGCTAGAATAGTGCAAGAAGAGGACAGCACATGAGCGATGGATACTAAATCAATATTCAGTACTAATGCAAACATAAAACAAGCTCGTCCACCAGAAAATCATTTTTAGACACTATCAAATTTATTTAATTATTTATGTATTTTATATATTTTTTATTGTATGCCCACATTCACAAAATATTAACATCAAAATGTATAAATGTGTTACAGAGTGTACAGTCTTCAAAATGGAATGTAACAAAGAAATTAATATATATATAAAAAATAAATAAATAGGCAAAAAATAAAGTACAATCACACAATTTTAGAGCAGTCTTTAAGTGGAGGTTGTAACAAAAATTGTAAATGAATGACAAGGATCCTGTGTTAATTTAAGCAAGCTCTTTTATGTATTCCAAAAGGGGAGACCAAATTGACCTTAATGTTTGTCATGGGTAAGTTCTAATGGTAGCCATGTAGCAATTTGTGATATCCACATTTTGGATTATTTAATTATTTTTAATACATATATTTCTTAATATCTTTGGTCTAAGAAAATCATAAGGCTTTTCCTGTATACTGTACCACATGTACAGTGCATACGTATATAGTTAAAATCTAAATTATTGGACTTCCTGTGATTTCTTTATTCTTTTTAAAATTTTTAGCAAATTATGTTTAACAGATCAAGGAATTTTTCACAGTATGTCTGATAATATTTTTTTCTTATTTGTCTTGTTTCAGCTAGAATAAAAGCAGTGTTTAATGAAAAAAAAGGTCAATATTATTAGCCTGCTTAAGCACAATTTTTTTGGTTTGTCAACCAAACAAACCATCGTTATAACTTGCCTAATTAACCCAGTTAAGCATTTGAATGTCACTTTAAGCTGAATACTAGTATCTTGAAAAATATCTAGTAAAATATGATGTACTGTCATCATGGCAAAGATAAAAATCAGTTATTAGAAATTAGTTATTTTAATTAGTTAGAGCCCTCTCATTCACCCGGCGCAAGGCGCGACGCAATTGTTGTTTGCTAGTTTCAGCTTGGCGCAAGAGTCGTTTTGACATTTTGCAGCACGCTGTTTAAATAGTAAATGCAATTGCGCTCATATGTGCGCCCATAGGCGTTCTGGTCTAAAAAAGAAAATGTGTTAAGACGCATTGCTGGCGCGTTGCTATTTTGAGGAACTAAAATTTTCTGTTCAATAGACCAGCGGAGGGGTGGTCTAAAGTCCAGCGCAGAGTACGTTAGTTGTGAACCTCGCTTAAACATTGCTTAATACACACACAGGATGTACAGCAATACGCATATCTTTACAAATGAAAAATTATTAAAAGATTAAAATATTACAAAAAATATTATTTTCTAGCCTTCATAAATATAAAAACCAACGCCTCCATGTCTTCTTTATCTCTGGGGGCTTTTTCATTTTATTCATGACAATTTGCTTTTGTATAATGTTATTATTACAAGCAGTATTTGCTGTAAATTAGAGCTAAATTAAGAAATAGTTTTGAAACAAATCTTTGCGTTAAATAAACGAAATTAATTATGTATGAGCTAATGGATGTATTTGCGTACAACGTACTATGCACGAGAGTGAAAGTGAAAAGTCATTCTCTCATTCTCGCGCTGTAGATGCTCTGATTAACTGTTTTCTCTCTAGTGAAGCGTTCAGTTTTTCCACTTATAAAGTCAGCCATATAAATAGCAAATGCGCTATGGTGCGACGCAACTGACTCTAAAGGGAATGGGAGATGAGACTCTGATTGGTTTATTCTCATAACACACCTATAACTCATTAAGAGAATAAGCTCAACCCTGTTAGATCATGCGAGATGACGCAAAGCGGATTTTTCTGTCTTTAAAATAGCAGAAGTGAATTCTGACACGCCCTTAATGCTTGCGCCCTGTGCTTTGGACTTTGCGCCTGGATCGTCAAAATAGAGCTGTTTAAAAATGTGCTTAAAAAAATGTTTCCATTAAACAGAAAGTTGGGAAAACCGTACATGGGGGCTAATATTTCAGGAGGGTTAATAATTCTGACTTCAACTATATATGCAACAAAAAAAATTGAAAGACCTAATTTAAAATACACAAATTGACACAATATGCTACTGTACATTGAGAAAAAGGAGGACAAAGAGAAAACTATACTAGATATTTCAGTCTGTACATAAACTAGAGCAGAACCGTGCTCAAGTAAATCCAATTCTTTACTGAAGAGAATTTAATGAGCCTTAAAGGGAATGTCGATGTGCTGTGGGTGCATATTTAGGACACATACACACGTGCGCACATGCATGCACGGACATAAGCAAACACTCATGCACAGATACTTTGGGTTTTCATGTTTTATGATGACTTCCCATATAGATGTAATGATTTTTTATTCCATCACGTGGTCTTGTTTCTAAATGGAACAACAAGTGGTGATAGTGCTGTTTCTGCTCCCTTCATACACTCAGTAGTGGAGGACAGAGGGCTTCTGGGTCACGGCCACACTGCAGCCTTGAGCTGGCCTCGCTCTCATTAACAGGCCAATACCACATTTACTGCCAAAAATACCTTACAGTCACATTAGTGTTCATGATCTTCTGTTTTTATGAGTAATGGCGTAAAGATGGATGTCTATAGGAGCACTACTAACATTTCTTGAGTTTTTTTTAAATTAATCAGTCTGATTCTTTTTTTTTTTTAAATAAAATTTTTTATATTTGTGAAAAAAATGTAATTAAATGAGCTACAAGCAAACATTTTAAAACATGTCAATTAAACTGCATATGATGTTCAAATAAATTCTATATGTGCTGTCAAAGGTCTGGTATAAGTTAATCATTATTTAAATATTAATTTATTAAGGAATATAGTTAATTATTTATTAATAAAGTCATTGTTATTAATAAACAAATGGAGGTTTTTATACTCCTGATACTAATATAAAAACTGTAAATATAATACTACACCTATTAACTATTATAAAAAACATCAATTTATTTATACATAAATAATATATTATATTAAATATAAACTATTATTTCTATTATAATATGATTAACATTAGAATTTAATGTATAATATAATAATTACACAAACTAATACATTTTAAATAATAAACTATTAATTAATTATAATTAATAAATTCTAATTAAAACAATACAGGTCCCACTTTATATTAATTGGCCTTAACTAATATATACTTAAAAAGAAATTAATCATTTGTTACAATGCATTTACTGTGTTTTTACAATGTAATTTTTGATTGATTAAATACAATAGACTGTAAAAAATATGGATGTAGAATCTGTGACGTCACCTATAGGTTTCTGAAGCATGCAAAAGAAGCTACAAGTTCTTCAGTTACTTCTATGTTTGCTTCACAAGGGACAGTGGGAGGTTGCCGCTTGTTAAATACCTACATGTAATTACATCTGTAATTAATTTCTGTAGGTGACGCGGTGGTGCAGCAGCTAGTGCTGTCGCCTCACAGCAAGAAGGTCACTGGTTCGAGCCTCGGCTGGGTCAGTTGGCATTTCTGTGTGGAGTTTGCATGTTCTTCCTGCGGTTGCGTGGGTTTCCTCCGGTTTCCCCCACAGTCCAAAGACATGTGATACAGGTGAACTGGGTAGGCTAAATTGTCTGTAGTGTATGAGTGTGAATGAGTGTGTATGGATGTTTCCCAGAGATGGGTTGCAGATGGAAGGGCATCCGCTGCATAAAACATATGCTGGATAAGTTGGCGGTTCATTTTGCTGTGGCGACCCCAGATTAATAAAGATATTAAGCCAAAAATAAAAATAATGAATGAATTAATTTCTGCAATTACATTTATAATTACACTGTTGACCCATCGTTTTCACCTTATCCCATCCCTAAACCTACCCATACCACCATGCATGTCCCTGACACTACCCCTATCCCAACCCAAGAGCACCATAAGTGTTCTGAAATGCATCATAAACACATTAAATACATTGTATTTATTTTTGGATGCAAAGTACAGTTAAGGTCACTTGATATATAGTGGGATAAAATTGATAGATTATTTATTCAATGTTGCTGTTCCTACAGAAGTTACCAGCCAAATGGTTAGTAACTATTTTGTTTGCTCACCAAAGATAATTCTGACTCGCATGTGGCACTTGTCGAGTGTTAATTTTGCCCCTTCTAAAGCAGCTGACTCCCCTCTTAGCTTAACACATCCGACAGGCCTAATGATTCACAATCGCACTGCTGTGAGAGCAGTTTAAAGATTCCCTTACAACGTGTAGCACTGCAGACTGAGAGTTTAGGGAGATCATCAATATCAGCAGGTTTATATACACGCCAATATACTGATAACTCAAAAAGCAGCATACTGAAATAACCCATTATCCCAGTTTACATGTAAACCAAGAAGCTCACAAAGCAAGTTAACAACATCTATAGAAGACTTCTGGTTCTCTACAAGAGAGTCTGCTTCTCTCAAGGTTTTTTTTCTTCACTCCTATCAGGTGAAGTTTTTTTCCCTCTCCGCTGTCACCACTGGCTCGCATCGTTCAGGATTGGTAGAGCTACCAATCAATGAATTTGCTCTTCAGTGTTTGAACTCTCAGTAATGATTGTAAATCACACTGAACTGAGCTAAACTGAACTGAACTGAACTTAAACACTAAAAACTGAACTACACTATGTAAAGCTGCTTTGACACAATCTACATTGTAAAAGCGCTATACAAATAAAGCTGAATTGAATTGAACTTCATTAAAAAATCAAATCTTTCCATAATCACATCCTAATTATTTCATTTGTAATGTGTGTTGCCATGGTTAATCATTAAAAACTAAAGAAGATAACTGCAACATGTCTGTGTGAATCTTACAACCAATAAAAGCCAATTATCAGCATTTCTCATACTGTAAATGATGAATCATTTTGATTGTACCACTTCTACTCAAATGCATTAAATTAAAACAATGAAAACCTGATCAAAGCTTTTACATTCATTTATTTTCTTGTCAGCTAAGCCCTTTTATTAATTTCAGCGGAATGAACCGCCAATTTAACCAGCAAGTTTTTATGCAGCGGATGCCCTTCCAGCCGCAACCCATCTCTGGGAAACATCCACACACACATTCACACACACTCACACACTATGGACAATTTAGCCTACCCAATTCACCTGTACCACATGTCTTTGGACTGTGGGGGAAACCGGAGCACCCAGAGAAAACCCACGCGAACGCAGGGAGAACATTCAAACTCCACACAGAAACGCCAACTGAGCCGAGGCTCAAACCAGCGACCTTCTTGCTGTGAGGCAACAGCAGTACCTACTGCGCCACTGCTTCGCCAAGCTTTTACATGCTTAGAAAAATTTGGGCAAGGGGCAAAAATCTAACTGTGATGATCTGTTTATGCTTAAATTCTGCATGAAATCAACATTTACAATTATTCACTGCAGGTTAATTAAAAAAAAAGTTTTGGTAAACTGACGATTTGCTTCCACTCTAAAAGTTCTATTTAGATGATGTCAGTTTGATGGGCCTGGATGAAATACGCTAAGCCACTCCTCTTCAACTCCCCATACACTTTACAGACTATTCATATGCATGCAAATACACTAGTCTGGAAACACAAGCTTATGCGACAAGTTTTACATTCCAAAGTTCAAGCTTGGTGAACTCTGACCTACAAATTTGCATATGGGCATATTGCATATTGGCCAATAGAAGATCAAGTGACCTCTCTGTACTGAAATTTGTTCAGTACAGTATTTGAAAGTATGTAGCAATCACTTGTTTTGTTTGTGCCATATCATTTTGTTTTATTCTGCCCTTTTTTGCAGCACTAACCGACAGAATATACTGATAAACTATATTATATCGAATCATGATCAAATTTATGTCGATAACAATAGCCGCTTTTCCACTATCGTGCTGAATCGTTCTTTAAACAGAACTGTTCCATTCCGTGCCAAACCGGGCCAGACAGCACGGATACGGTTTCATTTTCCACTGTCGTACTGCGACAAAGCTCTTTAAAACATTACACAAAACGCATCAGTAGTTGCCTTGGTAACGCAATGTAAACGGCTCCTTTTGTTCAATTAAAGTTAAATAAGAGCCGAAACTTTTTTTTTTTTCATAAAAGCAAAAGCAACCATATGTGACTAAACACTGTTATTCTAAATGTGCACCCCTATTTATTTATATGTTGCGCAGCTCTGGCTAAATTTTATTTGGAGGGAAAATGACCAAAATGTAACGTGATGATTGAAAATAATTGAAGGGGAAATAAATAATATTTAAAATCTCTGAACATAACAGAAAAATAAACAATGATAAGACAACAATAATAGTGCATTTGCATTATAGTGGCAGAAATATAATTTTGGACAGGCCTTGTCAAAGGTGAGCGGGCACTTTCACAAAAACACAGCACATAAATTATTTCATTTTTAACAATTAATTAAATTACACTGCGTTTTTATATCAAAAGTTGATAATGATATAAAATATACTACATTTTGATGGTAAAATGAAACCAATTAAGCGCTGGTTGTTATTTGTTTTACTATTCAAACATTAAATAACGAATGCAGCAAGTGAAAAAAAAAACGAATATGAATCAACACATATATTGCAGGATTTAAAGCATACAAAGCACTATTATATTTAGCAAAATGCTGCTCTATTATCTTTTTATTTTAATCATTTTATTTTTATTATTATAATAATTTTGTGTTCATAATTAACTAACAAGCTGTAGGCGAATTATTGCTAGACGTTTTAGAAAATATTTGCATAGCTATATTAAAGATCACCACAAAAAAACAAAAACACAGAAACATGTTACATGCCTCATAAATGTCATATAACTTATGTAAAACTGAATCATATAATTGCCTATAGCTGAAATGATAAAAATTGCTCATTTTATTTTTATAAAACATTTGTCAAAACGTAGCTATTGATATTTTTGAGTAAAAGCAATACTGACATTTAAGAATCCATATTTATTTAATTCATTCATTCTTTTGACTTGTTTATTAGTGCATATGCTATAATATAAATCATACAACAGTACCTTGGACAGTTACAGTGCCGCTCCGTAAAGCTTTCAAGCAAAGTCTTTTGGACGGCCGACATTACAACACGAACACGCCGTCCTTCAGGTGGTCTCGCCGGTATTAACAAGCTGTCCTGGCTTTGAATTAAAAAGTGCAATTATTTCCTCGTTGTTAAAAGAGTCTGCAAGTTCGTGTTCCATGGATATAGTGATGTTGTTGTGGAATTTGGACATCGACGATGCAAAGCGTGACTTTATTCGCTTTATTCGATGCGCAGCAGGAAAAAAAAGTCAGCAGCGCAAGTCGCTGGCATGTCTCTCCTCTCCCGGATCAGAGCGAGTTTTGTGCTGTGAAATACAGCGCTGCGTGCAATAAACTCACTTTCAGGCAGGCGAAGAAGGGTCTGTATTAAAGTCAATAAAATAATAACTTTAATGAATAAAATATCTTCGTAAAAATGTGATGAGTTATTCACTTCTCTGCCAAAGACTACGCTATGGTTTTAAAACCCTTTTCAAACTGTATCGTTTAGACCTGGATCATTATTTTATATTAAATGTACTGTAGTTTATTGAGGATGTCTGATGACTAGCGCGCTTCTGCTGAGCCAGCTGTGGTAGCTTAGCAACCGAGTCGCGACGTCAACACACAGAATCTGTCAGCACAGTTCAGCACGGTTGTCTAACCGTGCCGAGAATTCCGGGCCGAGAACGGTTTGTAATCGTGTCGCGCCGTTCCAGGCTCAGTGGAGAAACAACCGTAACCGTACCGAAGTGTTCTTAGAACGGTTTGGCACGATAGTGGAAAAGCAGCTAATGATAAGCTCTGGACTTTTTACTCTATATTGATCTGAGAGCCAATCACACTGCAGAAATGTGCAACAATGGAAATCTTAAAGTGTGTTGATATTAGAGATGCAATTAACTTTTAGCCACCAAAAACTTATCAGCCGAAAATATGTTTCGCCAATTAACGGACCTTCTATTTTTGTGGCTTCAGTCATTGTTGGGGTACTCTTAAATCTGGAAGCATTAACGACTCACATTAAAAGTTGAAGTCAGAATTATTAGCCCCCCTTTGAATTTAGCTTTTATTACACATTTTAAGGTCAAAATAATTAGCCCCATTAAGCTTTATTTGTCTTTAGATTGACTACAGAACAAACCATCATTATACAATAACTTGCCTTATTACCCTAATCTGCCTAGATAGCCTAGTTAAGCCTTTGTATGTCACTTTAAGTAGTTAAGCCTTTATATGTCACTTTAAGCTGTATAGAAGTATCTTGAAAATATCTGGTAAAATTTTATTTACTTTCATCATGGGAAAAATAAAATAAATCAGTTATTAGAAGTGAGTAACTAAAACTATTATGTTTAGAAATGTGGGTAAAAATAAACAGGGGGACAAATAATTCTGACTTCAACTGTATATTGTTATCGTTCAATTTGGAAAATAATTATCGAGATTGCATTTTTGCCATATCGCCCAGCCCTATGTTCAAACTTTAAATGTGACCACAGCTTTACTTTGTTGCGAGAGAAAGAAACAACTAAAAACCCATCTCTTCTGTGATCACCTGAACTCCTGTAAACAAAACCAGGACCCTGTCTTCTTTCCACCCAACCACACCGCACGACTCTTAACCGACACTTTAACCGACACAAGTTTTTGCCCACTTGCACCAAACACTTTATTATAATCAAAACAAGTGAGTGGGGTTGACAAACTACCCGTAGAAACACTCTTCTCTCTTTAAAAATCACTCCACATTCCTTAATCTAGCACTTAATTCTTTGAGCACTAACAGTACCTTCTATAATTAGCACTTCTTGCGTGTATTGTCTCTTCTAGTTGAATCACGGAATGACCTCCCCTAGATGCAAGTCACTTTGGACAAAAGCGTCTGCTAAATGACTAAATGTAAATGTAAGTAGGAGTTCAAAAATAAACCTCCACCCCCAACTCAATATTCCATTTCAGTTGCAAATACATAATCATACTGAAATAAAAATCTCTAGCAACCTCCAGTTTACACCGACTTTCAAGTTGTTAATACATTTTTACATGCCTATATGCATTGTGGGCTTATTGTGTAAGACTTTGTTAGCAAATGCACTCATTGTGAGCAAAACGTTTTCCTAGATCAATCATGTGACTTCAGGGACAATAAAAAATTTCAATACAGGACTACATTCTGCATTGAGATCCAGATGGAGCAGAAGATGAGCGTAGGTGAATACCTGTTGGATGGGACTCTGGGCCTGGAAAAGGATGCGTCGGCCGAGCAGCTCAGCAAAAATGCAGCCCACAGACCAGATGTCGATGGCGTTGGAGTAATGTCTGCTCCCCATGAGGATCTCCGGCGCTCTGTAGTACTGCGTCACCACCTCCTGGGTCATGTGACGTGACTCGTCCAGCTCCTCCACCCGCGCCAGGCCAAAGTCACAGATCTGAAAAACAAGTTTACAACATTATTAAACATTTACAAAATTATTATTTTTTGCTATGTTATACTATTTATTGTCTAGGGTTATTTCTGTTGGAACCAACCCAGTGGCGTAGCGCAAAATGCGGAGGCCCCCCTGCAGGGATCGCTGACGGGGGCCCCTGATGAAGGGGGGGGGGGATACGTCATACGTCAATTTGCATATCACTGACGTCTTCACGTTCTACCGTTTCTGTTTAACAGCCTATGGTTAATAAAGGGGTATTTATAATTGCACTACACTTTATATAAGCATGTTTATTTAACTAAATTTATTGCTGTTTGAATACAGTATATCATTATAGATGTGTAACGTTAGTGAATGTGCAGTAATCTCTCATATGAAATAAACTCAGAAAGTTCAAAACTCATAAAGTTCAGAAACTGTCACTAAAATATCTGTGTTTGTGAACAAGAAAAGAATAAACGGTCCAAATAAATTGTTAAAATAAAGTAGAAGTAGATCGGTTTGACTGTACAAGGGAAAAACCTTCACACTGCCTGTGCTAAATCATTTGTCGTCGGTACGCAGAGGGGTGATCTGCTCTCGAGCTGCAGGTGGGAGAGGCTGCTGTACGAGGACTGACTGGGCCGCCTGTCAGTGCTGTGAGGCGGGGGAGGGGCCGGCGGCATCACACGCAGCTCATTGAGAAGAGTAGGGACGGTACAGTATGGACAAATGACAGTCTAAAAAATCTCCAATAACACACAAAAAAGTCGCTAGATTTGTCGCTAGGGGGGTCTGAAAAGTCGCTAAATATAGTGACAAAGTCGCTAAGTTGGCAACATTGGCTGCAAGCAATCAGAATGAAGTAGTCCACCGCTTGAGAGGTGTTCAGAGAACACAGACGTGTGAACTTTGGTTCCGACCACAGTTGTTCCCAAGAGTTTATTGAAAATCACGACGACGCGGGGCCCCCTAATCACGCGGGGCCCCCCCGCGGTGCGTGCCCTGCGGGCCCGTCCGCTACGCCACTGAACCAACCCAGGATCATTCTGAAAACGTAGCCCCGCGGGTGTTTCTGGAGACCGTGATTTACGTAGCCGGAGGTACGTATGGCTGCATTTCATTTTTATAAGCGAACGCTACGGGGCGGTGTGACACCACTCCTCTTCTGGGTTAATTGGAACTGTAGAGCCAATGCTATGAAATTTTGTTTTGTTTATACGTACATGTGAATGACAATAAAGTGCTTATTTCTTACTATTTACACTTACTATTAGCTCAAAGGGTGTCCTATTTTTATATATGTTTAAAATACTAATAAAAATTTATTCTAGTATAGTTTTACTTTCAATTGTAAATTATAAAATATTTTAATTAATGTGTACTTTACAGATTTTTATATTTTCATTAGTTATATTATTAAAATACAAAGGATAATAATTACATAATCTATTTAAATGTAAATATTAACATTATAATCCACTAATTTTCTTTTTTTTTTTTTTTGGCTAAGTTTCTTTGTTAGTCTGGGGTCGCCACAGCGGAATGAACCACCAAATTATCCAGCATGTTTTACGCAGCAGATATACTAGCAAAACACTAGCAAACACCCATACATTACTGCATTCACACACATACACTACGGCCAATTTAGCTTATTCAAATCACCTGTACCGCATGTCTTTGGACTGTGGGGGAAACCTGGAGCACCCGGAGGAAACCCATGTGAACACGAGGCGAACATGCAAACTCCATAAAATATTACAATAATATTAAAACATAATAATATAAAATACAAATGAAATATACATTTTATTTTTAATATTAATATCAATTAATAATTTACAAAATATACTTTATTTATAAAAGATAAATCCTTTCAGTTAATGTGTACTATATTTATATTTAAATTTTCATTAATGTTCATTCATTCATTGATTTTCCTTCGGCTTAGTCCCTTTATTCATCAGGGGTCGCCACAGCGGAATCAACTGCCAACTAATCCAGCATATGTTTTACACAGCGGATGCCCTTCCAGCTGCAATCTAGTACTGGAAAACATCCATACACACTAATTTACACTCATACACTAGGGCAAATTAATTTTATTCAATTCAATTATCTTATGACCGGAAAACCGGAGCACCCAGAGAAAACCCATGCCAACACAAAGAGAAAATGCTAACTCCACACAACAATGCCAACTGACACAGGTGGGACTCAAACCAGCGATCTTCTTGCTGTGGAGCGACAGTCTATTATGCTTAGAAATGTGTTGAAAAAATCTTCACCGTTAAACAAAAAATTGAGAAAAAAATAAGCAAAATTCAACTAATAATTTAGGAGGGCTAATCATTTTGACTTCAACTGTATGTATTATTAATGAATAATTACAAAAAATGAATACTTTTTTATTATAATGTATGTATAAAAATAAACATTTAAATATTAATTCAGTGAGTCACTAAGCATCCACATTATTTATGATGGAGGCACATTTACCTATTTTTCTGTCATTGAACTATTATCTATTTATGAAGGTGTGCTTTCAGAAATCCAGTGCAATTGCATTGGCTGTAAATATATTGACAGAAATGAGAAGATCCCCTTTTTAATAAATCCCACAATAAGACCGAAATTAGCTGGAGAGGCTCATTCACATTTTAACCACAGAGATAAACAATAAAAGCTCTATAAAAACAAAACCCAATTTCCAATCATCTTGAGCTGCTTGAGCGCTCCTAGGAAATAAATAAATGAGAAAAATATCTGTGCCTGCTTTCTCCACCCTCTTGAAGGAAAGAAGGGCTTAGTATGAATTACTAACAATTTACTCAAGAGCTCCACCCTGTTCATCCCAGTGGCCTGATTTCAGGAGCTCCCACAAGACAAATTCACATCCTGCAATAAAGCTTGAACATGCACTTTATTGGACTGATTTCCGGTGTCCATTTCTTCCATGCAAATAGAAATAACACCATTTATAGAAAACATGATAGTCTGGTAAGATGTTGCAATGTGTTTGCTTGCTAGGGTGTTGCTAGGTGGCTACTAACAAATGAAAACACTTAGGTTTATGTTTATAAAGTCAGCTCTCTGTGCATTTATTAATATTAAAATCGAATAAAGAATGATAATTGGAAATATCAAAATATCCTTTAAAATCTATGAAGTGAAATTATGAAGTGTCACGGTGGCGCAGTGGGTAGCAAGATCGCCTCACAGCAAAAAGGTTGCTGGTTCAAGCCCCGCCTGGGTCAGATGACATTTCTGTGTGGAGTTCTCCATGTTCACCTGGGTTTTCTCCGGGTGCTCCAGTTTCCTCCACATTTCAAAGACATACGATACAGGTGAACTGGGTAAGCTAAATTGACCGTAGTGTATGTGTGTGAATGTAAGAGTGTGTGGGTGTTTCCCAGTTATGGGTTGCAGCTGGAAAGGCATCCGCTGTGTAAAAACATATGATGGATAAGTTGGCGGTTCATTCCGCTGTGGTGACCCCAGATGAACAAAGGAACTAAGCCTAAAGAAAAATGAAATAAATTAAATTATTATGAAAACACATTTGCTGTAAGTAATATTTGTGATAATAATAAATATTAACTCGAGTATAACCAGAGTATTACTTATATACAATAAATTCTAAATTAAATAATACAGTATAATATTTTTATATTCCTAAATGATATTAAAATGCACATTATTCATTTATATGCAGTCGAATATATATACATTTATATATATATATATATATATATATATATATATATATATATATATATATATATATATATATATATATATATATACACTACACCCACCGGCCAATTTATAAGGTACACCTGTCTAACTGCTTGTTAGCACAAAATTGTAATCAGCCAATCATATTGCAGCAACCTAATGCATTTAGTTATGTAGACATAGTCAAGATGATCAGCTGCAGTTCAATCCGAGCATCAGAATGAGGAAGAATGATGATTTAAGTGACCTTGAATGTAGCATCGTTGTTGGTGCCAGACGGGCTGGTCTGAGTATTTCAAAAACTGCTGATCTACTGGGATTATCATGCACAACCATCTCTAGGGTTTACAGAAAATGGTTCAAAAAAAGAGAAAAATAGGGCACAAATGCCTTGTTGATGCTACAGGTCAGAGGGGAACGGCCAGACTGGTTTGAGCTGATAGAAAGGCAACAGTAACTCAAATAACCACTCGTTACAACCGAGGTATGCAGAAGAGCATCTCTGAACACACAATATGTCGAACCTTGAGGCAGATGGGCTACAGCAGCAGAGGACCACAACAGGTGCCACTCCTGGCAGCTAAGAACAGGAAACTGAGGCTACAATTCTCACAGACTCACCAATAGAAGATTGGAAAAACGTTGCCTGGCCCGATGAGTCTGATTTCCCATCAGATTAAAAAAACTGCTATTTTGTGTTAAATTGATTTTGTGTTGAATCACCTGCATATTTAGGAGCCTCACACAACACATTCATTAATTTTCTTTTTCTTTTTCTTTCTTTTTTCAACTTATCCAGAATACTTTTTTTATCCAGCGAATGCCCCTCCAGCGGCAACCCATCTCTGGGAAACATCCATAGACATTCATTCACACACATACACTACAGACAATTAAGCCTATCCAATTCACCTGTACCGCAAGTCTTTGGACCGGGGGTGGAGCTAGAGCACTAATAGGAAACCCACGTGAACGCAGGGAGAACATGCAAACTCCGCACAGAAACACCAACTGACCCAGCCAAGGCTCGAACCAGCGACCTTCTTGCAGTGAGGCGACAGCACTACCTACTGCATTACTGCGTCACCTTCACACAACACATGCTAACATAAAAAACATGTTATGTAGATAAAATGAAACAAATCTGATCGACTCATCAAAGCAGACTCCAGCACATCTGAGTCAAAGATAAAGTCTGGCACATCTGAGCTGAATGAGGAAAAATGCTCTTCCTTTTGGGAAACGGGGATTAAGGACTAAATGAAGCAGCACAAGCTAAATGATTCCCTCTCTGTGGTCCAACTGCAAAATGTATTCACATGTTCCCCTCAAGCACATACTGTACACCTCTCTAGATCTCCCATATCAGCCCTGTGTCTCTTTCTTACAGCTGAGCTTTTCTCTATGGGATCCAAAATGAAGATTTATGTGAGGAACTGGCTAGATGAATCAATCCCAGAGGGGCCCCTGAGCCAGATCGTGTGTGTGTGTGGAGATCAAGACTGGACACAGACTTAAGAAGAGTCCTGGCTTTTAGAAAGACACAATAAAGGGCCGTAGGCTGGAGAATTTAATGATGGAAAACAGAAGAGCACAAAGACAAAGGAAGAGAGAATAATATAGACTCCCAAATGTCTCACACAAAATGAATGTATTCGGCATCAATACTACTACTTCTACTTCTACTTCTACTACTACTACTAATAATGATAATAATAATAACAGTAATAATAGTTGATATATTAAATTAGTTATTTTCAAAATACACTTTTCTCCTTAATAGAAAAGTGCATAATTTCTCTAGCCTTTAATGTCCAACCCAGGCTCATTCTGAAAACTTAGTCCCGTGGACATTTCTGGAGATCCAGGAAGGTATGTATTTAAAAAAATGCATGGGACTACGTTTTTAGAAAGAGCCTGTGTTGTCAATGTCACATGATCCTGAATTATTTTAATATTCCAATAATGATGATCAAGATTTTCATCATCAATTTTGAATCAGGATTATTTAATGAATAGGAATTTAAAAAATGAAGAAAAAAAAAAAGAAATAAAAAATATACACATTTGATATTTATAATTATAATTAATTAAATATTACACTAAGCATTAAAAATGATTTACATGTTAAATGACAAAATATCTAAAGATTAAAACTGAACTGATTTTGTAAATATACTGTATATTACAGTTTAAAGCAATCAGTGTTATGCAATAAAATAACCAGATATAAAAGTGACACATTCACATCTCCAGTATAATATTGTATAGACTTGTAAATGTATTGCATTTAAGAAGAAGTTTTTGAAAGTATATTTATATTTTGTATATATTTATATTATAGGTGGGCATAGATTCATTTTTTTAATCAAGATTAATCTAGATTAATCTTGGTATTAATCTAGATTAATCTAGATTAAAATGGCTCATTTGAATTCTGCTGAAGGCATTCAGAATATGTGTGCTACCAAAATAATAAGTCTTTGAGAACGGGTTTCTCAAGCCAGGTGGCGCATTATACCAGGGGCTCATCTCCTGTTTCCAAAATGCATCACAAACTGCTTGAGAAACTGTTCTACTATGATAATTGGTGATGAAAAGAAATGATGTTCAATAAGATGTACTTGTGTTTACTAACTCTTTATTTAGTTAAACAGGAATTTTGAACTGTAGGCCTATATAAGCTACAAACAGCGATTTTTGATCACCTTAATCTGACTAGTCATAACTGAACTAAACAGAAATTAAATTAAGACATGTGGAGTATGCACATATTAGTGGCATTATTGAAGTAAACACAGTAGTTTTTAGGACCTTTCGTCATATTTTCCGACAAGATCCACACGCGTCTGTTATTAAAGGACAGCACACACTCACACATAAACACACACACATCGCGAAATGCGGAAGTGTTTTTTCTTACATACGCGCTAATATATCAAGGTGAAAGTCATCATATCTAGCGCAAAATAGACCCAACTTTGAGAATAGATTAATGGCGATATTTTATATCGCACGATAAGAGTCTCGCATTAACGCCAACTAATTTATATATATATATATATATATATATATATATATATATATATATATATATATATATATATATATAATTATTTTATTTTTATTTTTTTGCGATATTCTGCCAGTAACAGAAGTCGACCAGCCTCTTCACCCTTCAACCTTGTGTATTACTCTGCCCACATACAGCAACAAGCAGAGTACAATCTACAGTTTGACATATTGCAGCTGTTAGGCAACATAATGTACTTTTGGGGCATCTAACTACAGCTGATCAAATCATTATAAAACAGGTAAGTGATATTCTAAGTCGATCTCTCTCTTTTGTATGTCACAGTGTTGTATTTATACCATAAGACTGTAGTATATTGAGTGTAAGATGGGACTAGCATTTCAGGAATGTGTGCTGTGTTGGCAAAAAGAAAGAGGAAATGCCTGGATTTGTTTAGCGTTTTTCCTTATCACAAACACAACAGCACTAGTAGTGATTGCGCAGTTTTTTTCTGGGTTAATTATTGTAACATCCCAATTCATTAAACAAAACGTTTTTTAGACTCTCTGTATTTGATTTTCTTTTTTATATACATGATTATGCCATCAAGCTGTTCCATAAACACAATATCACACGATTAGCTGTGTAATGTGGCTGTATATCATCTGGTGGGACAGTAACGCACACACGCCTCCCACCAGTGCCGATATACAGTACAGCCACATCGCACTGCTACTCGTGTGATACTGTTCATATAAGTTAATTCAATTAAAATGTATTTAGTAAAAGAAAGATCTGAAATCACCATACAAAGGCATCAAACCAACACTCAAAACAGAAAAAATAAACAAACAAACAAACAAATAAATAAATAAATAAATAAAAAGTCTAACTAGTATGAATTAATATATTTTTTATTTGAAATAATTACTTAAAAATGATTTTTTCATAAATTGTAAACAGTATTTCACTAACCTTTAGCACACAATTGCTGTTGACCAGCAGGTTCCCAGGTTTAATGTCTCTGTGCAAAATGCCGGCTGAGTGTAGATACTTCAATCCTGTGGACAAAACACATTCATCAGCCATTTAACGGACACAAACTCTATTGACATGAAACCGACAGATCTGTCATGCGCTACAGGTTTCTGGTTTGCTCTGAAATCTAATCCAGTTGACACATAAACAGACTTTTGAACTGTGCTGCCATTTCACTCTAAGATGCAATAGAGCTTTGTGTCGCTTCAAAACACTGAAGCTATACAGTATGTTTCTTATTATGAATGACGTTAAATGTTCAGTTTAAAACATGTCAGGTGTCCTACTAGCAAACAAAAAAGTTACTGGTTTTAACACTTGTGTTTTGACACTACATTAAACACATATTTTCTTGGAATAATCGCTAAAGTTTAACTCTTACTTTTTTGATGTACATTTTAAACAAATGTTTTAAATTAAATTGTGAAAGGCTTATAAAGTAACCCCAAATATTAAGATTTCATTAGTAGACATTTCTTAATGTAATAATTTGGAGCAGACTAGCTTATAGATATCTTTAAAACTCAAAGACTAAAACTAACATAAAAAAATATTAAAATTTTCACAGGACCTTCAAGATTAACATACCATTTACAAGCCTTTTCTTTAACCGTCAGTTAAATTGAATGAAATTATGTTAATTATAAAGATTCTGAATCCTACAAAGATTCTGAATTTTCTCAATCAATCTTTTTGACGTCATAACCCAGATTAGCATGAGAAAAAGATTAATAGCCTATGAAGTCTTCGGTGCTATCATGAACACCACGACCAATAACAATCAGAATATTTGTTAAAAGGCGGTCAAAAAGATTAAATAATAAGTAACTATTCACTGTATTATTTTGAAGAGCCCTCAATCACAACATCATTGTATGTTTATTATCACAATATTTTGTCGAGCCAAGCCACCTTGACAGATTGTGTCGAGCAAGCTCAACTTAGAAGAGGAAAAGAGAATAAAAAACCCCAACAATTTTAGATCGTGGAACATTCCAGCATTTCAGGAAGGCAGATGAGTATGCTGGTGTAGTTCTAGTTCAAAGCGGTATACGCAAATGGACTTTAATTTTCAGACAGCCAGCTCAACGGCTTCTGGTGAACTGTCCTTCCATTACAAAATCGCCACGTTGAAGATGTTTTCTTTAAAAAGTAGTGATCTTCACTGCCTGATAGATATATAGTACAATATAAAGTGGATCTCAGAGGGACAAGAATCACTGCGTTAAATTCCATTTTTCCCTGCTATCTCTTTAAAATATATATTTTTTATCCCAGTATTTTCAATGGAGTTTCTGCGCTAGCCTGCTGATCCTGACGGCGCTAGATTTCACACAGTCTATCATATCGTATTATGCCTAAACAACTTAATGAATGCTCAAATTTATTTAACTAATTGTATTTTAATTACACTACCATGTCGATGCTGTAAAAGAACCTTATACAATTTTATATAGTCACATAAACCTTTCACCGGAAGTTTAACATTGGCTGAAAAACAATAGCTGTGCATAGAGCCCATTGAACTGATTCAGTTGAGTTTAATGTAAATAACAATGACTATGTTTACATGGACATCAGTAATTGATAATTTACCTTAATCTAAAAAAGCCAATAATATGATTGTGTTAATGTGAATTGTTTTTAGAATTTTCCTTTCATGTTTCTGTTTTACATGCTATAACTTTCCGACTTCAGCTGCAGTACAGCAGCTCCACTTTCCACTATTTGTACTGACTCTGTGCAGAAAATACAGTCGTGTGTGTATGGGCTATCCTGTCACAAAATGCTGTGAAAAGGCCTACATGATGGTAATAGTTTGATTAAGGTGTTTACAATTTGTCTGTGCATCTAATAGGAATACTCCACATGTCTTTATTTGATTTTTGCTGACTACGATTATGACTTTAGCTCGATTAGGTTCATCACAACTCTTCGTTTACATGGTAAAATCTTAATCAGAGTGTTGGTGTCCATGTTATCACACTGACTGTTGAAGGCTGATGAACTGAAGAGCAGCTCCAAATACTGTATTGTATTATTAAATATCAGCATATGTCTAGACTACATTCATCTCTCCTCTTTGTCTCTGGTGAGAATATTACAGTGCTAAGAAGACTGTGAAAAAAATTCTTTGGCTCAAACTATTAACAACAAAAAACCTGCTGATTGAGTTTGGTGTTGGATGAAAATAGTCTTTTTTTTCTTGAAACCCTTTCAAACTATTTGTGGTGATCAAGGCCATGTTGGGTTCTAGTTTTGGACACTTTCTGACCCCAAAACCAATCTTCTGCATTTTTCCAGCTGTGATTCTTGAAGATATTTCTCACAGTGATATGCTCTTCCAGGCTGATTCATAACACTTTCAGTTGACTGGATTTTCTGAATGATTGCCAGTATGGGTGAAAAGGGCATTTTCAGTGTTTTTGCTTATTGTCTTAAAGCCACTTCCCATTTTGTAAAGCTCAGCAACATTTTGCTGCAAATCACAGCTGTTCTTTGATCTGACCCATTATGGAGTATGACGGAGTGAGTTTGATGTTTGTTTTGCTTTATTTATAGCCCTGAGAAACAGGAAGTAATGGTCAAATAACATTGTGATTCTAGTTACTCAGGTTTACTAAAAAAATCAAACATCAATGGAAAAATCCAAAAAAAATATTGAGCTTATATGAATTCAGAGCGGTGCCAATAATTGTGGCACACATATTTAACAAAGATGTTTTTTGGGGGATAAAACCATGCTTTCCCAACTTTTCCCAAGCAAAAGATAAATACGCTACAAAACAGTCGTGTCAATAGTTGTGAAAAACATATTTAACAATTTTCTTTGTTGATAAAATGAGAGCAGATTTGTTTATTAATATATTGAGCAAAAAGAGATCAAAATTTTGCACTCCGGTGCTCACGGTGACCCAAGTTTAATTCCTGCCTCAAGGTTTTCTCCCCATGCTGTCCTCTCTACTGTCCTATCCATTAACCCTTTAACTGCCCCACCAAGAAAAAAAAATGGATTGCATTTTTTAACTCTTAGTGTCGCTAGTTAACACACTCAATGCATTTTTTTCAACACATCCCAGAAGTTCTAAAATATAAACCTCTACCAAATGATTGATATGTCGATTTATGATAAAAGTACCGTAATTAATACAATACAATTAATACATACACTATGAAAAAATATGAATTGTGAGACCAATTTATTTAAAAACATAATCAAAATAAAACATTTTTGAATACTGAATCACTTTTATTTTTAAGTATATCATAAAATATTCCAGATTGTCATTTAACATGTTTTCTTTTTCTTTTTTTACAATAAAGCCAAAATCAAGTGAAGTAGTCCAACTGGATTATGTTTGATAATGCTGTGTAAACCATTATTTAAAACAGTTATTCTTTAAATGACTTTAACAGTCATTATTTAAAACAGTTAAAATATGTCAACTATTTGATGGATCAGGCAGTTAAAGGGTTAAAGGCAACACATGTGTGTTAAAAAATAATGAATTATAGAGAGGGTGATTGTTTCTGTGTTTCTACCGAGGAGATTTTGGTGAAGTTTACAGATTGTGAAATAAAGACCTTGGTGTAAATGCGTGAGTACCTATTTTTGTGACATATCAGGATACAAATTTGTTGACGATATGGAATGACATGGGTATTACAAGACGATGATGGCCTTTTTAAGTTTGTAACTTATACATAATGTTTTTTCCCAGAAAAAAAAAATGAAGAGCATTTTTTGTTTGTTTGTTTTTAGGACTAGCCCTGTTAAAAAATGCTGGGTTCCACATAATTTCTTCATGTCGTCAACACAAATCGATTAAGCTAACTTATATTAATTATATAATATAAATTATACACTTTATATATATATATATAATTATATTATATAATATTATATAAATTATATGAAATGTCTTGTGTCCTTGTAATTTAAAACAAAATGATATTTAACGCAGTATTTTGTCATTCAAAATTTGACACAGGCTTCCTGTGATGTGGGTTTAGGGCTAGGGTTCGAGTAGAGCCATATAAGCAGTTTTTACAGTATAAAATACATTACAGCTTTGGAAAGTCCCCTTATACCATATATACAAGTGACAAGTGTGTGTGTGTGTGTGTGTGTGTGTATTTGTGCTGTATATATCTCTGTGGGGGCTTAAACCTGAATGCATACAGACTCATGGGGATTCCATACATTAAACCTATAGAAAGTCCCCTTAAAACATATATACAAGTGTGTGTGTGTACTTGTTTATATATCCAGGTGGGGACTTAAACCTGAATGCATTCAGACTCATGGGAACTTTGTGTCACTGTGGGGACAAAAATCGAGGTGCCCAAGGGTACACATGCTCATAAATCTTACAGGATGAAGTATTTTGTATGTAAAAGTATATTTTTTGTATGTGTGAAGTGTGTAAATATGCTTCATGTGAGGGTTGGGTTTAGGAGTAGGTTTGAAGTACAGTATGGGGATAGAATACATGGTTTGTATAATAGAAACATCCTTACTTCTATGTCCTCAATGAATATAGAACAAGTCTAAGTGTATGTGTGTGTGTGTGTGTCTCACCACGAAGGATCTGGTAGAGAAAGACTTTGACGTGGTCCGAGCTCAGAGGTTGTGGAGATACAATGATCTTATGGAGGTCGCTCTGCATCAGCTCCGTCACCACATAACTGCAGTAGAGTCGAGTTAAGGGGGAAAAAACAATGGCAAAAACACCAGAGGAAGTTGAATTGTGCTGCAACACTGTGAATGAGAGCCAGTATTAACACTCGTCTAAAAACAGAGCCAGTGGATAAGCAGGTCACACTGTGGAGAGGGTGAATGTGTAGAGCACCAGTGTTTGTCTAAAGCACCCCTCCTGAACTACAGTATGTCATGAGTATCACATTTTTACTGCTATTATTTACAGATTTAACAGATGTATCTGTGATGATAGAGTGCAAAGATTTTAGTTGTAGGTTTGTGGAGCAACTAGCAATGAACAAACAGCTGCTTTAGAACATCTTTGGACTATGGGGGATACCAGAGCACTCGGAGGAAACCGACGCCTGAATAAGATTTAAATTTAGGATTATTCATTTGAAAATTTCTATGTTTTTTTATTTCTGGTTTTGATAATTGAGTACAATTGTTGAAATACAACCATAAACAAATAAAATTTTAAATTTAATTCAAGCAGTTTTTAAGGACCTATGTTTGTTTTTAAGTTTTTCCAGGCCTTAAATTCATGTGTTGGAAATTCAAGCACTTTTAAATACTTTTAAGAAGCATGAAAACCCTGTATCATATAAAACTATATTAAAGTTGTTATAATATTAATGTTATAAAGTTAAATGGTCATTTCATGAATATTGTTATATAATTTTACATACATTTCTATAAAATTATAAATATATGAATTTTCATTATAATATTATGTTTTATGGTTTTCTGATTATAATAGCAAAGAAATAAAAAATACAAACATTTTGTAGACATTCAAGTGTTTTTAATTATTTGGACCAATTGTCATTTCATACTTTAGCACAATAAAAAATTATGTTTTAATAAAACAAATAACCTTCAAAACAGAATTTCAGAGAGGCTTTTTATTTGGTTTCATAGCTATATGTACAGTTAAAGTCAAATTTATTAGCCCCTTTGTTTATTTTTTTCTTTTCTTTTTTGAATATTTCCCAAATGACGTTTAACAGAGCAAGAAAATTTTCACAGTATGTCTGATTATATTTTTATATTATTTTATATTATTTCAGCTAGAATAAAAGCAGTTTTTATTTTTTTACAAACCATTTTAAGGTCAAAATTATTAGCCCCTTTAAGAATATATATATATATATATATATATATATATATATATATATATATATTTGTTAGTCTACAGAACAAACCATCATTCTACAATAAGTTGCCTAATTACCTTAACCTAGTTAACCTAATTAACCTAGTTAAGCCTTTAAATATCACTTTAAGCTGTGTAGAAGCGTCTTGAAAAATATCTAGTAAAATAGTATTTACCGTCATCATGGCAAAGATAAAATAAATCAGTTATTAGAAATGAGTTATGAAAACTATTATGTTAAGAAATGTGTTGAAAAAAAAATCTGCTCTCTGTTAAATAGAATTTTGGGAAGCAGGGGGGCTAATAATTCTGACTTCAACTGTATGTATCCTATATACTCAAGTATTGATTATTATATTTATTGTTTATTATAGTATAATTGTACAATTTTATCATAATAAACCAAGCAAAGAAGATAAAAGTTAAATAAAAATCTTTTTAAATTAAACAGAAAACACCTTCCAACACTGCTGTAGTTTTTAGCACACAAACAAAGGCAGGATTACCAAAAGTGTTATTCATTCCTTTGGCAAAGTAAAGAAAGCATCATCACATTCAGTTTACCTGTTCAACACGACTGAGCAGGTTTGACTGAAACATCAACGTGTGATGATGATGTGGGCTTTACACAGCCATGAATGAAGGTACTGAACACACACTGAGCTCAATCCAAGAGGGAACAAAATCCAATCACCAACTACTATTACTATAATTTACTTTATCACACCGATTACACATCTAAACCAATGCAGAAGCACACATTTGGCCATTATTACAATTTGCAGAATTTAAAACACACAAATATGATCTGCTACTGCCATGCGGTCAAGCTAGAAAAACAGAGAACCAAAGGATGAAGAGGTACGATGTCCTTTCAAATAAAATCAGGACAAAAAGTACTTGTACATCTCCGGAATGAGGAAACGGAGACCTCTCAGCCAGGACACTAACTGTTTACACTTCTCCCTTCTAAAATCTATAATCTTAAGGCATAAAACCATTTGTTTTTCCTCAGGCCACATCATAGACTGTAAAAAAGATAGGGCCACATCCAACTTAAACAGTCAACACAAGAGTTGCTACTTGTTTTCTCATGGTCATAAACAGTTCAGGATCCTTACTGTTGATGATTTTCTGTAACTTATTTCTAAATACTTTTATAGAAATCTCTAAATATATTATTTGCACAGTTAAACAGTCAATGATGACGCACGTACAATTGCATATAAACCAAGTAAATGTATATATTTTTACTGTTTACTTTATTTTTCACTTATTTAAATGTCTTTCTGTCTGGATGTATGTAATCAGTTCCAGTAAACCTCAAAAATTCCTTGTGTGTCTGCGCAGACTTGGCACATACACAATTTTAAATCTAGATGTTTCCGTGCAGCTTCCTTGTTTTCTGATGTCAAGTAAAACCAGTCCACTGATTGTTGTTTTTGTAATCAGGCTCAGAAATGTTCATATTAACTTTATTGTCATTTATAAAAAGAATTTAATTTGCAAAATCAGATAACACATTTTTTTTTATATTCAAAGTATTTCTGAAAACTATCAGAAAGCTTTAGTTTTAGACTTTTTTTTGCAATTGTACATTTCAATTCACAACATAAAATTATAATATCTAAATTTTTTTTGCAAATAACACTTAATAAATATATTAAATTAAATATATTAGAATTAAAACAAAACCATTTATTAAACAGTTATATCCACTAAAAAAGAGTTTGAACAATGAACATCTTCAGTTATAGAAAGAAAATACATTTAAATTCAAATCAAATATTGTAATAAAAAAAAAAACTACAAATTTTCAACTAAATATTACATTTAACTGTTTCTTGTTTTTTCATGTTTCTTGAAATTTAAGAGTTTCGCCCCAACATTTTAATTTTGGTGTAATTTTGGACTGTGATCTTATATTTTTTGTTTGAGAAGTTCCAGTTTTTGGTACTGACGCACAAATAGAATACTGTAAAGCATTCAATAGAAATATTATTTTAATATTGTATTGTAATTTAAATATGAATATATTTTTAGTTTAGTTTAGACTTTATTGTCCGTTCGTTTTGGCACAGAAAGGAAATGTGTCTTTTACACTGGATTTAAGACAACGATTGCATACATACAACCATACAACAATCACACAATAGCAACACTTATCAAGACAACAACATAAATTAAAAACTTAAAAACCAAATTAGCCCCACATATATCACTGCAGATCATTCTTGACAACCACCTCTTTCACTTCAACAGTGATCCGATTTAAGACAACAACTGCAATTGGAATAAATGACTTTTATAAGCATTTCTTCAGACTTTAGGTATTCTAAACCTGCGTCCTGATGGTAACACTTCAAATGCTGAGTTAAGGAGATCTGTATTATCTTTAAAAATCGCAAGTGCTGTTATTTTCCATAGAGTCAAATAGAATCTGCAGCAAATGTTGTTTGTGGCCAGGTATCTTGTTTGCCTGATTGATAATTTGCGATAATTCATTTTTCTGTTTAAGTGTTGTTTTACCAAATCATGAAACAATATGTGAGAACTCTCTGTTAGTGATCTATAAGCCATGTTTAAATTTATATGTTGAAGTCAGATATTTTGAAGTCAGAATTATTAGTTTAGTATCAGTTTATTTTTTTCCCAATTTCAGTTTAACGGAGAGAAGATTTTTTCAACACATTTCTAACCATAATAGTTTTAATAGCTCATTTCTAATAACGGATTTATTTTATCTTTGCTATGATGACAGTAAATAATATTTTACAAGATATTTTTAACACACTTCTTTACAGCTTAAACAGTGACATTAAAAAGGCTGAACTAGGTTAATTAGGTTAACTAGGCAGGTTAGGGTAATTAGGGAAGTTATTGTATAACGATAGTTTGTTCTGTAGACTATCGAAAAAAATATAGCTTAAAGGAGCTAATAATTTTGACCTTAAAATGGTTTTCAAAAAATTAAAAAAACTGCTTTTATTCTAGCCTAAACAAAACAAATAAGACTTTCTCCAGAAGAAAAAATACTATCAGACATACTGTGGAAATTCCCTTGCTCTGTTGAACATAATTTTTATATAATTTTTAATAGATCAAAGGTGGGCTAATAATTCTGACTTTAACTGTATGTCTGACCTTCATGTCTAGAAGAACATTACAAAAAAGTCTTCACCTGGAGACACATTAGGACACACATTATTACACGTGCTAAAGAATGAACAACAGGCAATTATCTGCTTCAGAGCTACGAGTCTCTCAAAACAAACAGCAACTTCAGCAATCAACACATATGAGCGCAGATGCAACACGTCGCCTGTCAGTAAATACGAGCAATGGAGAAAGCGAAGGAGGACTTCCTGGCAGAGACAACCTGCCTGTGATCTTCCTATTATATACACACAAAGATGAGCAGCTCTGTCATCCAGTCCAGTCAAGCGCTTGCACTCAATGACAGAGAACCCGTCCTAGACTCGCAAAAACTTTGTGAGAAGGGCCCCTGTCTGTCAGTTAACTGTCAGTGAGCTAAAACAATCAGCAATACAATACAAAAGAAAATTACAAATAATAGGATAAATGCAACTGAAATAAACCAAATAAACAATTTCAGCCCAGTAAAAATAATCACATAAAATACAGCCGGTGCTGATAACCTAGTGATTAAGTGCGCTGACACTTAGAACTCAGGTGCTCATAGTGACCCGAGTTTATTTCCCAGTTTGAGGTCTTTGCTGATCCTTCCACCACTCTCTGCTCCCAATTCTTTCCTGTCCGTAATCTCCGCTATCCTGTCCAGATAAAGGTGAAAAGCCCCTAAAAATATTA